TTTTATTACGTATTTTCTTTTGGTATGACTATTGAAAGTTTACTATTTTTGGTAAAATTCCTATGATTCCGATTTTTTAGCTATATAGCCCCGCTTGTGGGCTGTTTTCGAATGGTGAATGAAATAATAAAGAATTCTCTTGTTTTTCTTGGCGTTTTCTCGTGTTCTTCCATGTGAATTATCTGCTAAAACCAGCCTGCGGAATATTCGCTATTATGGCCGACATAAAAAAGGCTGTCTTATTTCTTCAGCTGTAGAATAATCGTTATTCTACCCGACGTCAAAAAAGCTAAGTCTTATTTCATTCCAAACCCATTTCAAGTATAACTAACAAGTGCCACCTAAATAACAAACCGAACATGGTATTGTGTCCATGACATCATGAATACACTGCTTTTCGAAATTGGTTCCAAAGGAAAGAGAACAATAGAAAACAGAGTTGAGAAAATGCGGCTACAAATAGTTCAAATATTATTTACAATAAAGTAATAAAAGATTCTAAAAAAGAAAGATTCAGGTGAAAATTTTATTCCTATATTAAAGATAAAGAAAAAGATCTAGAGTTAACAAATAACAACAAATCAGTACAGGTTGATCATGTGTTTCTTGGACAAGATATTTTTCTCATTAAATATACCTGTAACCTTGCCCTTCTCTCTTCTTTTCGCTGCGCAACCGCAACATACAGTGGCTTGCTGACAACCATTTTCCCATTCATCTCAGTAAGCTAAAATCAAGAATTAAAAGACCACTCCATCAGCTGTCAATACAGTATAAAAAATATAACCAGCAAAAGCATCACTTATGCTGTGCAACTTACTGCTCGAGTAGCTTCTTCAGGAGTAGAGAAGGCAACAAATCCAGATCCTCTGCTTACTCCACTAGGATCTTGCATAACCTGTGATCCAAGAAACATAAAACAATATTCACAACTAAATCATTCAACAAATGACAAATAAACAGAAAACTAACAATTGATAAAAAGCTGGATTCAGCATCTTTTCTTCAAGAAGATTATCAACATACATACCTTGCACGATGTGATTGATCCGAACTCCGAAAACATTTCCTTGAGTTTTCCATCATCAATGCTGTCATCCAAATTTTTTATATATAAATTAACTCCTTGGTATTTGTCTACAACCTCCTTGGCACTCTGATCAAATCGACTTTTGAGTTCCTGCTCTCTTTCATATTTCTTCTGGGCTTTGCCAACATACCACTCCTTATCATCAATTTTCGCCCCATTTAGAGCTTCAACAGCTTTTGCAGCATCATCGACATTTTCAAAATTTACAAACCCAAAACATTTTGACTTTCCATCTGCATCTCTCATGATAACAGCACTAGTAATTGTTCCATATTCACCAAAAATTTTCATCAAATCATCATCTGTAGTAGACTCTGCCAGATTTTTTACATAGACATTATTGAACTTCGTCTTGTCTAATACTGATTCTCTCTCCTGCTTACGAAGGAAATGTCCCACATACACTTGCTTATCATTAATAAGCATGCCATTTAGCTTGTCTATTGCATTTTGGGCAGATTCTGCATTGTCAAATTGCACAAACCCATAGCCTTTTGATTGGCCATTAGGATCTGTTGCTATCTTGCAAGAAAGAATGTTCCCAAAGCTTGAAAATGTGTCATGTAATGCTTTGTTATCAATTGATTTGTCCAAATTCTGCATAGTTCAGTAAACACATTACTACAACAATAAACAACATAGAAATGAAAAGCCAGTAAACAAAATGCCAATCCCAAGTGAACAATCCATTCTGCAGATCTTTAGTAGATCCATGTGGAGCAAAAACAAAATAACATCAATTCTCCATATCTCCCTATACGGTAAAAATTGTAAGTTTTCAAGGCAATAAATACAAATGTTGGTATTGACAAAGAAATGTAAAGCTGGATACTGGAGGGAATTTGACATGCAAAGTCATTCTCTCTGTCTAGAGCATAAAATAAACACGAGTCATACGTCGCCAAAATAAGGGGACACATAAAGCACATTAACAGACGCAATATACTAAATACAGTGCAGTAAACTTCTGATGGAGCAGAGCGCCTGACTAACATCAGAATGCTTAAATGAAGAAAAGAAAAAGATCAAAATAAGTGAAACGTGAGCACAATGCTTACCTTTATAAAGATATTTGCTGTTCCACTTTTACGGACACTGGGATCCCGATGAGAATACATGATTCTAATTGACTTGTTATTGAGAGGAGTGAAGTTTAAAACCTCCATAGCCCTTGCCGCTGTATACCAGGTAAACAGGAAAGACCTTAATAATTAACTAAAGAAAAATCCTTCCATTCTCAGGTGGAAATGAGAAATGAGATGCACAAGCAATATAAGGTTTGCACCCAAGAACAGGGCGAAAGAGACATTGTTAACTACATCTCAGACCCATACATACACAAATGCACTAGCAAACATATTATCAATGGAGAAGCAACTTATGATAATTATACTTTCTTTAATCTACATCTATAATCCCAAAGTCTACAGAAGGAAGTCTTTCTTTGGTAACTCAGTGTGTGTTCTTTTCATATTTATAACAAATATTCAAAAGGCTAAATCAGATTAGAATGCAGTTGACATTCGTGATACAGAAACTCAAGTCACTTTGAAGCATAAGTCTCAACCAATAAAATAAATAAATTGACCAACTATTTGAAAGAATTTATTGCTTTTTTCAGCAAAAGAAGAAAAATTAAGAATATAAAAGAAATAGAAGAGAGAGAGAGTTAACAGTTGCATGAAACTGAGCCACCAAAAGCACAAAATTTCCTTGGGGAGGGGGTTAGCATCACAGTTGCAGAAGTAGAGGAACAGAGTACACTTGGGTTCCTCATTTCTTCTCTTCCAATCTCTAATCTCCATATCTTTTTTCTTTCAGTTATTATAGTTGGTTGTGTTAAACAGAACCCAAAAAATACCTTCAAACATCTTATGTTACTTAAAAAACCAGCACATCTGAAGATGGTAAAACTATGAGGTTTTTTTCTCGCTGCATATGTTATTTCTTGTTTGTTATTTAGAGAGGGACCTGTAAAAGTACTTGAAATCAAGACATTCAACTTGTTTAAGATCAACTCACTCATGATTATTAAATGCATAAAAACTACATAACAAAGGCCCTTTAATGCAAAGCATAAAATGACATGAATAAGATGAAAAATCCCCAATGCACGCATATTATAATTTGCAAAGTTCAAAAATTGCTCACTAAATGTCAGAAAAATCGCCTGAATCATTGCAAGTATGAATAAAATAACGATGACAAATTTGAATTTCATATCTCACTTGTAAATCTAATTCAGCCATAAAACCATCAGTATAATAGAAAAGACAATGAAAATCAAGGGTCCAAAAGAGATACTACAACAAAGTCCAAATTTCAATCACATTCTTCTTGTGTCTCAACACAACCAAAGTGTTGTAGGCACACATTTAATATGCTTCAACACATGAAGCTTTGTAAAGATTTTTAGACGAGCTTATTTGGTAGTAAATTATGGAAGCAAGTTAAAAATCCAATCTAGATACGCCCAAAATCGGCTCAGATTATAATGAACCAGACAATTCCAAGTTCATCAATTGTTATGAGAATGACCAAAACTCAAATTTATTCAGATAACACTATAAAGTTTCACTGCTATATCAGTTAACTTCAACTTCTTAAAGAGTCATAATTTAACATTCTAAGGATTTGTTCCCAAATTTGTCCACAGAATAGAGAATAAGAGAAACGAAACTGACAGGCACCTGCAGAATAGCACCTGAACTACACATTCAATCAAACATTTCATTAAAGGATACCAAAACGATTCATAACACAAATTTCAAGATTTAGAATTGCATTCAAACAAATAAACAAAATCCAAAAATTACACCGTCGATAACTCACCATCGCCAGTGAAAGACACTCGAATCAAATGGAAATACAAAAATTCGGAAAAACACAAATCTGTCAATATGCAAATCACTAACCATCCTGGGGGCTGCTATAGTTCACATAACCATAGCCAAGGCTGCGCCGAGTGCTGAGGTCACGACAAACCCGAACAGAAACAACCTGACCGAACTGGTTAAACAGATCATAGAGCTGCGAATCCGTCACAGTGAAATCCAAGTCTCCCACGTACAGTGAAGTCGTCGGAAACTGGCTGGCCCCTCCACCCGGAGCGGCCGCACCCGGCGTCACCACCACTCCATTATGCCCAGCCGCTGCATTCTGGTGCTGCACCTGAATCTGCGCCATTCCTTCTAAACGGGAAACTGACCCTAAACCCTTAGATTT